TTTGCCTTTTTCGCAATTTATTTTTACCATTTGCATTTAAAACACGATTAATTATTACATATTAAAAAAACATTTCTTATATGCTGCCATTCAAAGGTATTAAAAAATGAAGAGGAAAAAAAATTAAAAAAAAAAAAAACGCTTATAAATCCTATATTTTTTGATATGTTTTTTGATAAAAATTTCGCAAAATAAAATTAGAAAAAAAAAACTAAGACTTTTTCAAATTTTTTTCAATAATTTATTCGCAAATAACAAATTTAAGTAGGAGAATTCCAAATGTCAAAATATAAATGGAAAATCCATTTTACAAAAATTTTATTTACAATTAAATACAAATTAATCTTAGTTACTTTTTTGACATTAACTAAATACAGTGACTCTATAGCTGATCTGCAATATATTTATACATAGCAGTCACAACAACTCACATGCTACGAATTACATTAGGCATAACATAATTAATAAGTTAAGCTCTAAGAATCTATAAAAGAGAAATTCTTATGCTGTTGCATAAGCCATGTTTTATAAATATTTAATAAATTCTTTTTATTGCATACTTATTATTTATTTATTTACATATTTATCTCATTCTCATTATATGTATTATAGATTGTATATCTACATACATACATCTGTAAATATTTTTTTTAATAAAATTTGTACATAAAACAAAAATGTGAAATGCAAAAATGAGAGAATTTAAAAAATAACAAGTAGTTTTAGACCTGTATGTAAATGAAATGTGTGCTATAAAATTAGTAGTTATTTTTTCTTTTATTAGTCTCTATGCTCTTCGTCCATAAATTTTTTTAATACTATATGAAAGAGAGTATTCGGAGATTTATGTAAAGCAAATTACCGTATTGCATATATTGCATGTCTGTTTGTTAATAATACATAAATAGTGTACACACTACATTATTTTCGTAAAATAATTCTTAATTTAAAAAAGTGTTTAAGAAAATATGTAAGTAAATTAATCAATACTTTATTAATTACCTATATAATAAAAACAAATATAAGAATTTCCATTTAAAATTCAATTATTTATAATGAATAATAAATTAAATCAAATATCATTGATTAGCAATTTAATTGGATTATTATATTACATAACTGAGATTTTCATGAACACAATACTGCAACAAGACATAACCGAAAAACGCAATACTGCTAGGACAGCACTTGATTATTATAGCTGTATATATGTTATGTATTCTATAAGAGCAAAATAATTTATATAATTTAACTGCTATACTCATAACAATTTTGTATATTACTGATAATTAGCAACATTTATTAATAAACGCAAATATATGTAGCACAGTTTTCACTATGTCGCGATAATACTGTATTTTTGAAAAGGGCTTATATGACGAACAATATAGCTATAAGAATTAATCACTACTGAAAACGGAAGTAAATATGCCCGAAATTCTAAATTGTCTTTTTGTAATATGTATGTACTTATAAAAAGTATTAAGTAATAATCAAAATTAAATTAAAATTATAAATTAAAAATTGATGAACTCTAAGTGATTTCAACGACCTTTTTAGAAATTTTAGTTTTTGAACTTTAAAGCAATTGAATTTTTAATGTTGAATATTTTATATTAATTTTGTATACTATTTACACTTTTTAACAAAATAATATAAAAAATTTTTAAATTGATGGAAAATTGATTAAAATTTTCAATTGAATAATTAAATTGTGAATTTTTTTTTAGACTAATGTTTTTGTTTTTTAAATTTTATTTACATATGTACACATTAGAATTGAAAATGAATAATAATTAACAAAAAAAAATATTTTGTTCTATAATAATTTCAAATTTTTTTTAACATAATTTTCAATTCAAATTTTATTTAATAGTTCAGAGTTTAATGAAAGTTAAAGAAAATCATTAAATTGTTGCTTAATGTATTTTAATATATCATATTTTGTTTCTTATATTGCGAATTTAGGATTTAATAAATTATAGGGGTTAAATTCTTGATTAATTTTACTTTTATTGTCACTTCCTATAATTAAATGTTGAATTTATGAAGTCGAATAACATTTTCATCAAATTAGTATTATGAGATTTAGAAAGAACAGGGAAACAAAGTAAGTAGGTATATGAAAAGAATCGACTAAATAATACACAGTCGTAGTTGATTGATAGTTGAAGAAAAAGTATTTTTCACTTTTAGAATTTCATTCTAAAGATTCATAGAAAGTTATTTTTACGCAACAGTAGAAGTAAATTAAGTAAATTACGTTATAATTTTTTTTTTCAGTTAATTTTTTTAAATTTCTGAATTTTGAAAACCCCACACAATTGAAAAATAATAAACGATTAAAAAATTTTATGAGCATTCCAACATTTTTTATTAATTTTGTGAAAAGGCAACACTAATTCCTATGTAATGTAATGATAATATTATGTATTAATAATACTATAAATACATACTATAGGTATCAAAGATGTAGAAAATTGTTTACAGAGATGCGCAGAGAAAATATTTTAAATTTTGATATTATTTACAGAGAAATCATCAGAAAGATTAGAAAATTTATTTATTTTCTCCCTCTCTCTCTCTCTCTCTGTTAATAGACATAAATATCTCTCCGATTTTTCGTTTACACAAAATTTTCTCAATTTTCTTTTTCAAATAAAATTTTTTCTCTTATTTTGTATGCTCTCAAAAAAAAAGGTAGAGTTTTTCTCCTTAATTTTTATGTAGTGGTGTTTTTCTTTTCCTTTTGGCTTTGACTTTTGTTTCTATTTGCATTTCTAGTTTTTTTTTTTGTAAGCGCTTTTAAATCGTACATTGAAAAAGATTTTGTATTGTAAAAGGGTTTTAAAAAAAGTAAAATTTAGTAGGTTTTCGATAAGCGAAGAGTAAAGAACACTGTAAAAAAAAAGTGGAAAATTTCGAAAGATTTTTTTTTTGAGTTGTACAAAAAGAAAAAAAATATTTATATATATATATTTACGCATTTTTTTTTTAGTTTTTATTTACATCCGGAAATTAATATCGAAAATTTACCCTAATTATTACATAAAAATATTAATAAAGTGAAAAAAGGAAAAAAAAAATTAAAAATTATTTTTATGATAGCTGAAAAAAAAAATTATTAAAAATATTTTTTCTAATTTTTTTTTTTAAGAATTCTTTAGAGTGAAAAAAGAATTGAGGTATTAAAAAATTGTTTTTTTTGTTGGTACACATGTGCATACATATTTATATTTTAAGAGAATAATCATAAAAATATAATAAAGAGGTGTTATGTATATAGAAATGTGTTAATAAGAAAATTATAATGTAGATAGATTTCGGTATTTTTTTTTTTTTGAAGAAAATTTTTCTCAAGAACTTGAAGGAAACGAGAACACGTTTTTAATTAAAAAATTTGTAATTCTTCATTTAGGAAAGCTAGAATTGCCTTTTAATCTTTCAATTTTATTACTAAATTTTTGTATTAAATGTAGTATGTCAAAATTTAATTTTTGGTTTTATTATAGTACTTTTGATGCCCACTGCTAATTAGTTTTTACATAATCGCCAAAAATAAAGACTCAAAACGTCACATTAAATTGAAAAGAAGTGTGCGTCCGCTCTGAATTTTTTATATTTGTTTTTTCTTTAGTGCAACATTTTTAACGTGTTCATTAAAATTTTCTGTTTTGGAAGACGAAACTCATATATTGATGAAGGAAAAACATAAAAAAAGAAGTAGAAGAAAAGATGAAAAAAAAAACTATTTTAAATTTTCGCATATTAAAAAATTAATTTTTATAATATGAATGAGAAGAAATTATTTATAATTGAAAATAAAAAAAAAAATTTTTTTTCAAAGATTCTTGGTTGCTATTAAGTTTTTCGCTTTTTGGTTTTTTTTAATCCTAATTGGAAATTTTGAAAGAAATTTTAAATTCAATAAATTTTTGAATTTCCTTTTATTGAGTTTTTGAGCAGTTTTTGAGCTTTTGGCAGCTGAATATTTTTTGATTGGGTACTTTTTCAAGAAGCAAAATTGTGTCATATTGTGTTCATATTACATTTTTCCATACAAAGCTTTCGAATATTTTGATCAAAATATTAAGATGTAAAAAATGTGCATTTAAAATGTATTTTAAGTAAATTATACTTACTAAATATTTTTTTTTAGAATTTACATATTACAAATTTGAATTACAATTGAAATTCATTTTCAATCGCAGTAAAAGTTTACATATTCAAAATTACTACTCAAATAAGTATACAAGAATTTAAAGAATGAGAAAAAATTGATTGAATTGGTAAAACACAAAAAAAAAAAAATAAATAAAACAAAATGTAAATTTTTCATGACTCAACATTACCGTAATGTTGAAAAAAATAAAAAAGAAAAACAAATAAAACAAACAAATACAATAAAATGTAGAGAAGAATCCTTGGATACACAAAAATTTTTTTTTACAATTTTTCAAGCTTATTCATCCTTTTTACTCTAGATTATTTTCTGTTTCCTTTTTGTATTGTTATATTTATTAATTTAATTTCTTTTTATTGGTTTTTTTAAATTCTAAATATTTGTAATATAATATCATCAATTGTCCTTTCCTTCTTAATATAAAAAAAATTATTATTAAAAAGCAAGTCGAAAAAAAATATCCTTGAAGTTTTTTATTTATTTTGCTGTTGTTGTTTTTGTTTTTCTGCTCTCGCTCTTCATTTATTTTCCTTATTTATTTACTTAACATATACATACAAATATTATGTATTCATTGTATGTACATTGTACACCCTTATATAAAATAGAAAAAAATATTACAAATTATTATAAAATTTTAATTTTTAGTAAAATAAGAAAAAAAAATATAAAAAGTGAATAAATTTTTTAAAATTCTTAATTAAAATTAAAAAATATGAAAAAATATTAAAATCAAAAAAATTTTTTATACTTAGAAATCAAATTTTTGGAACAAATTTATAATTGTATAAAAAATAAAGATTTTAAATAAAAATACTAGAAATACAAGAAGAAGAAAATTATAATTAAATAAAATACATTTTTGAAAACAAAAAATTTAATTGATTATATAAAAAATAAAACATAAATGTGTACATAAATAATTTGTAAAATTCAATAATTTACAAAATAAAAGGATAACAAATAATATTGTTCAAAAGGATATACTTAAGTACTTTAAAAAAAAATTGTTTACTCATATAATACTTACACACATACATGCATAAAATTCAATCTACAATAAAAGTATAAATAAGTGTATAACATATATATAAAGTGTATAATAGTATTTGAATGCCATTTACAGAATAATTTTATTTACATTACAAATAAATAAGTAGACTCTTCAAAAAATATATATATACTTATATACTTAATTATTTATGTTTACAAAATATTAATTTTTCAAAAGATAAAAAGTAAATTAATATTAGAGAAAGGAAAAAAAAATTATAATTTTTTATTAATTGAAACTAAGTAATTTGACTCAAGACAGTGAAAGAGAGAGAGAGGGAGAGAGAAAAGGGGGTAAAGAATATTCCATATAAAAAGGTAATTAATTTATTTATACTTATTTAGTAAATTCTAATAATTTTTTCTTATTAAGTTCTTGTGTTTATAAAAAATGTCTACATATATTTTACATACATATATCGCTGTAATATATTATAATTTATAAGAAATTACGTGTTATATTTATTAAAGTCTGAAGGATTTAAAGAAAATAATCTAGACAAATGTCTAAGAAATTAATGTTCTACAAGGATAAAGTATGTAATACTTATAAGAATATAAAAATATGTATATGTACGTAGTACTAAAAATTTAAAATGGCTTGCCAAGTTTTCTCAAAGTCATAAATATCTGTGAGTTTTGTAATAATACTTAATGAAAAAAAAAATATTAAATACTTAATTATTTAATGTTAAAAAAAAATGTATACATAACTCTAATAAGAATCTTTTATACATAAATATAATTAGAATTTGTTTTGCAATGTTATTATAGTTTAGAAAATATTAAAGAAAAACTAATAAGAAATTTGTTTTTGACAATTATGACATTAAATTAATTTTGAAGTATATTAGACATTGTCCATATAAAAATATGAAAATTTAAAAGATAAGTCGAATTTGTTTTGAAATAATAGATTTTAAGCGAAATATAATAGAATAATAAAATATAAAAATAAGCGAATAATAGCGAAAATCCAGCTTAAAAATTAAATAATAGCGAAAATTCACTAAATTGATCTTATGCATTGCTAAAATATAGACTAAAATTCCAAAGACCATAATACATTAATAATAATTAAAAATTGTGTTATAATTTTAATAAACTTGTCTCATTAAAAATTGAGAGCCTGTTAATACAAATACAGTTGATTTTACATTTCTTGCCTTTTAAATGATATTATTGTTTTGTTGTTAAGCTTTGCAAGTGCCTAATTATCACATATATATTAAAGGGTTCTAGTTATTTAAATAAAAACTAGTTTTTAATTTTTATTTCATAATTTAATTAAGTACATAACTTGCTAAAATAATTATTCAAGAGTTTAATATATATATTTATTTTATAAAATTAATATCTTTGTTCTATAAAGCTTAATTATTAATATATATTTTAAATTACTTTTATATACTTAAGTATATCATAATTATTAATCAATTTACTTCATTTATTTAGAATAATTAGTTTTGAACTTTAGATTTTTAATTTAAAGTTTTAGTTTTTTTTTTTATATAAAAGTCCTAGATTATCTGGTTGTATATTTAGTCTTACATTGCCCAGTTATTTGTTAACAAGTCTGTTGACTAAATATTTTAAATTCTTATTTTAATTAATAATTATTTTAAATTAAAAGTGAAAATAAATTAAGTTACATAAGAAATCTAAGTAAGTATATGAAATAATTTTGTCTTAAATTAATTATTATAAATTGCTTTGCATCTAGCTTTCTTGTATATTATTATAAACTGATTATATAACAGTTTTGGAAGAACATGTAGGTGATATAAAGTAATTATATTTAAGTATTTGTTTAAGATAAAAATTACTTATTTATTAAAGAGTTAAAAATTGTTTTTCCCCGACACAAGTTAATTATACAAGATCATCAATAAACTGGACAGTTTTCTTCTTTTATTATTCTAATTCGCTTGATATTAATATATTCAATAATTTCCCGATTATTTATCAAGTTTATATTTTATTTACTTTAAATTTTTAATTTTTTTCCTTATTAGTTTTATTTTTTTTTATAACAACAAATCAATTATAATTATTATACAAATTGCAAATATAGAATTGATGCAAAAATATCACTCCTAATTAAGAATGAAAAATTTATTTTGTAAACAAGCTTCAAGAAAACCAAGCTTTTTGGTTGTTCTCTATAAGTAATTGAATTCTATGATTGAAATTATTTCTATAGTGTCACTATTCGTTTTTATTTTTTTTATTTAATTAAAAAAAAATTCATAAAATGTGAGCAACTTATGTACATATGGAGTAAAGATAGTTGATATTCATATTGAAATTCATAACACAATAGAACCTCTATAACTCGAAGTCGCACAAGAATGTTAAAATTTTTCAAATTATTGTGATTTCATATCATATTTTTTTTGTTTCTTTATCTTTTGTTTAATTTTTCGCTGAAATCCGCTCCTACAGATTGATTTGTTGAATTAAAAATATGATTTTTTTGGAAATTTTTCGAATAAAAGAAAGTCCTACTTATTTCTGAATCGGAAGTGAAATTTTATTTTGAAGCTAAGAAAAAATTCGAGTTATAATATGTTGAGCTAATATTGACTTTGATAATCTCTTTTTATTTTATAAGTGCTCTAAATTTAATTTTTTAATGTTTTTTCTTCAAAGTTCTTTACAAATAAAATTATTTGCTATTGATTCTAATGCATTCAAAATAAGTCTGGCGAATTCGAATTTGACTAATGCGAATCTAGAAAATGAAAGAAAACAATACTCAAATAAATTTTAGCAATTACATATTTTGTTAGGAGTTCTTTTGTATAAGCACATTTTAATATTTTATAACTTGATTACATAGTTTGTTAGTATGCACTTGCGAAGTTTTTTCTTCAAATGTTCTTAAATTTTTTTTCCACTAGATTGAATTACCAAAATTGTTCCCTAGTTTTTTCTTGTAAAACAAGCATATTTTTTTTTATCTTTATTATTATGTTCATAAATTTTATATACATACATACAAACATAGTGTACATATTTGCTTACCTTATGCTTATGTATGTATACCACTACATACTCGTATAATTCACAAACTTACACTTTTTATGTGCGTCATTAACTGGATTTTAAATTTCTGTATACTTAAAATTTCTGTATATCGCAATATTTGCATCGATAAAAACGTGTTCATTAATTATTGTTATCACTTGATTGCATATTACAAAATTTTTCATAAAAATATTTATGGCAACATAGGTGGGCATTTTTCTTTTTATATGTATAAGTATATAAATACGAGTATATAAATCTGTGTATGTAATTATTTTTTCATTTGATTACTTCAATACTTTTGGGAATCACTAAAATTTTTTGTAATCATTTTAAGACAAATCAAAATTCAATACTTATAATTGAAGTAATGATCGCATATAAGAACTATGATAAAAAATAAACAAATTTTATATTTGAAAGCAATATTACTCACTATAGAAATTTGTGGCGTTCTAAACGGGCAGTTAAATTATACCCACGTATAATTAAATACACGAGCGAGGAGTCACGCATATTAAGTATTTATTCCTACATGTGGATTTACATTTTTGATGAAAATAAGGCTTAAATCCTTAATATTCAATATTCAAGTCAGGAGTAAACAGTAATAAATATTGCCAAGATTTCTATAAACGCAACAGCGCTTCCTTTGCAAACTATTCTCAATTACTCATGTAACGGAAGTGGAGAACACTGTTTATCATTTCTTAATTGTGTCAAAAATATCCTTTATTTCAATATACTTTACTTACACATATGCAATTTTTGGTAATCCAGATCTTAGTCAACTGCGTGAAATTCCTTTCTTATACTGCAATTAATGTCAATTAAATAGTAATTTAATTTTTGTTGCAGTTTTTAACTAAACTGAACTAAAAAAAATATTCAACTTTTATTTTATGCCTTTATTCAGTTTTGTGCATTGATACCAAAATATCAGTTCATAAAAATGTTACGTCAAAGATCAACTACAACTCAAAGAAAACGAAAAAAAAAAAACAAAAATCATAAGTTGAAGCACAAGTTTCTTCACCATCACTCATCATAATATTTTGGTAATTTTGATTTCAAAGTAAAAGTATTCAGTATAAGTGTGCATACTTAAGACAAAATAAATATAAGAAGCAAAATCAGTTATAATGTGTGGAATGCGCAGATATTTGTGTACAAAAACAAAAATATGTGTGGTTTTTTTTTTCAAATTGATTTTTACATAATCATCAAATTTGTTTCACATACTTATACTTTACTCATTCAAATTTTTCACTCAATAAATTTAAAATTTATTCATTTTGTTTTTATTTTTTTTACTACGACCCCATTTCTTTCTTATTTACACTATATGTATACCTACTATACGTTAATATATGTATTTGTAAGTATTGATCAAAATTTTTCTTCCCAATATTACCACAACCTTTATTTAGTAGTAATAATTATCGGCAAATAAAAATATAACAATAAACTGCTTAAAGATTTCATTGTTCGAATATAGCGGTGAGGAGTTGTTAAAGAAAAATTCCGGATCCTAAAAATTCGATTTCATAAATGAACATTTAAATTCAATATAGTATAAATAATAAAAATATTTTTATCTTCATGGTCACTTGGTCAAACAAAAATAATAAAATGTCAAAAAATAAAAATGAAAAATAAAGAAATTCCAAAACTTCACAGCTCAAATTTCTTAAACCGAACTAACAACTATTTAGACGGTTACTATAAATATTGCAGCACTTGCATCAGAGACAAAATAAATTTTTCTTCCTGAATCAGCAAACATTCACACACACACTCATATTTTTGCTTTGTAAAAGTGTATTAATTTTGTATGTAAAAAAAGCAAAAAAAATTGCATATAAATATTGGTTTTTAAGGGCTCCCGTCGTTGGTAAATTATGGGCGGCAAATTGAAAATTTTTGTTGTGTGAAATAACCAATATTAATTATTATACTTAAGTACGTGAATTTTCAATAAAAGTTGCCAGATGCTTTAAGTGCACAAAATATTCAGAAAACGTAGTCGACTCGGCTCATTGAGCTATAGAAAAAATTAATTCCATACAAATTTAATAGAATTTATCATATTCATTGCACATACAAGAAATGATTCAAACAGTTTTATCATAGATTCATTGTTGCACTTTAAGATACAGCACCTATAAATATATGAGTGAATATGCTGGCACAATTACAATTTTCGAGCAGTTTTTCTTATCCATTCTAGTTGCCGTGTCAAAATATCGAACTAAAGAATACTAGAACAAAAATTTAATTTGTGAAAA